CAAAGACATTAAACTAATTTTGTTGCCTATATATGGACCAAGAAGCGTTTAAAAACTCTAACCGTGTATACTATTATATTGTGGGTATACATAGGCCTAGACCATAGATATGAAGTACATGTATATTATAGTGGTTGAGGTACTAATAATGCTATACACGCGTGATACATCAAATTTTTTGCATCTCGAGAATAAAAAAAAATCGCGTGTCTTGAAAAGGAATAATAATAAAAAATATAAAACATTTCGCCCGTTGGGCCCCTTTAATGATTTAGTGTGCACAATACTGCGGTGTGTGTGTGTGTGTGTGTGCAGTCTGCATGTATGACAGTAAATATAATTATACGATAATAAGCGGTGTTGCGACGAGGGGATTTGCAAAAACATGACTCACAGATTTTAATGAGCCGTTTGCTAAGGCGGCGGCGCCCTCGTCAAAGCGTGTATCGAATTATCGCGACGAAAATATTTTATTATTATATTATAATACATTATAATTGAATATTTTCGATTAGCCGAGTATCTCTAAAGGGTTAAGCGTGATTTATAATAATATTCGATGGCGCGCAAATGCGCTTTTGACGTTTATGTTAAGTTTTTATATACTAACGTGAAACGGGTTTTCGATAATATATTAATAGTTGTATGATATGGATACACGAACCTTTGCACGACATAATATCCATATATATCGACTTACCTTCTCTGAGCAGCCGATAAATATTTATCGTATGTTTTGAACGAGTCGAAGTCACCTTTTGCGGAGGACTTGCTGCAGCAGGGTGAATACCCGTATTTTTATTATTATTTAATAATATCGCGATGCGTATGATAAGGGTGAGAAAAATAAAAGAGTCTTTTTTCGACTTCTTATATTATATTTTCTCGTCCACCCCTCCTGAATTACAAGAGTCGGCAGCCATCGTATATTATATAATATAACCATTATACACACTATGCCGCACATTTTTACATTTCCCTCGAAAAAGAGAGAAACGATCATCGCGTACCCACGTCCGACGGCGGCTGTACGGCGTATAGATATACATTTAATATAATATATTATATAATATGCGTATACGCGATACCGCCACCCTGGTACCGTTTTAATAAATAATGCTGGTATATTATATACGTATATGCTTTCGTATAACCAGACGATTTTATATATTATTATGTATTCCCATAGTCATCTCGTACTTTTATTTTTTTTTCCTACTGGCACCGTCGCCACTGTATATAATAATATAACACTATACGGGTTTGTTTTTTTATGCGTTTTCAATTTCTTCTCAATTTTCTTCTCCAATGATTTCGTCGAGGTTGTAAACAATATATATACTCTCGATACCGCGTCGAGGTCTGTGTGAAAAACACTTCCATCGGGTATTTTCCATTTTGTCCGCTGTGCCGTGTATATAATATATTATACCGTCTGTATATATATTTATACGCTATAATAATATATGGATTGAAAAAAATTATGGACTTTATAGACGACGCGGCCGTGCATGTTCTCTTATCAACATTTTATCAATTTCCATGTATATATAATTATATTTTTTAATAATATTGTATATACTATATAATTAATATATGTATACTTATAAAATATTTTATATTCTTATTTTTTTTTTTTTATAGAATGGAAGAAACCGTACGGTCATTGCTTCAATACAAATCCAAGTTTGAACAACTGAAACAAGATCGACACTCTATAGCCAACTCCTACGAAGTAAGTCAACGTTTTTATTCACATGAAATCAACCGTATACGCATTATTCATTTATAAAACACATCAAACGTACCTCCTAAGTACTATATATATAGGTAATGGAACTTCATATTATAATGTCGTATTTCCTGGGAAATCGCAATCGATATTCGTAATATTTTATCCAAATAATTTTTTTTTAATCGTTATGCGTAGGTACTAGCTATTGATGCCCCTACTCATGGGTTATAATTTTATACTGTAGGTAGACCTACTTATAATCGTATTCTGCTTAGGTTATAACCGGCACATAGCGGCATAACTATTTAGGTACCTATAGTAATATAAAACGTTACGATTAGTTGTTATTACGTATAAGGTGTCGTAAATTATAATATAAATGGCGTATAATAAGCACATATTTTGACCCTCACGATTTTTTTTCAACGGTTTCGAAACAAAAATTAAAATCACTCGCCTTGGTCGTGGAAATATTATAAAATACACGCGCGTTTATAAAAATGATTTATTGTTTTAGCTTTAAATACGAAACGAAATACGACGTGTTTTTTCGTTTTTGTATTATGATATGTTATTCGCCCGTACATTTATATACAGGTAGGTACCTATAAGAGCCAGGAGGTACCCGTACCGTGAATTTATGGCATATTTTTCCCTTTATATATTACGTTTGCGTGTGTGTGTGAAAACGGCAGCCAGCTAGTTTTCTCTACATTATTTACTCCTCCTGTAATTGTATACATAGGCATGCGCCATCACAATAATACATTGGTATAAACCGCGTGGTACATACGTGGTACCTCAGTTTTCTAAGATCATACCATTATAACAGGACCGGGCTGTAACTCGAATAAAAGAATTTGGCCCGTATTATACATTTTTTTTTTTTTTTGCACGTTTATTATTGGTCAAACACGCATAATAGTATATAGACTTTTTTATTATAGACCGCACATGTTATGCGAGGGTTACATATTATTATTATTATTATACTGTACGGCTGGAACCGGGTAAAGAAAAATAAGTCAACAACTTTCTTGTAACACAATAGTATAATATAATATTATAGAATAAGAAAATATAACGAGATAATAGTGTATAATATGTGTATTGTCGTGAGGGGTCCGGCGGCGGTCGACCATACGCGTATGTATTACGAGGTTCTGTATCATATAATTTCATATTATTTGTTTTCCATTTTCGCCGCGACGTAGACGATCGCGAAATTGAATTCCGCGCATGATTCCGTCGTTATTTTTTAATCGACTGCCTCGGGAACGCTATCCGCTTTATACTATATGTACGTATAATAATAATGATAAGTTATAATATACACACACTATACACATTATACACTGCCATGTTCGCCCCCGCCGCTGTATAGACGTACGCACTGTATATATATATATATGCAATGTGCGCGTGTCAGTGCTGTGTGTCTGTGCAGCGACGCCGCACAAAGAAATCGTATACACCGAAATTAGGGTGGACTGCCCTCCGAACGTGACCCTTTTTAAAACCGAATTTGGTTTTCGCGTTTAGCATCGGGGGTTTATTGTTTTCTATTTTCTATTTTTTTTTTTTGTCCACCTCCCCCAACCACCCACAGCCGTCCGCGCCCGTCGGACACCGCCGCCGACGCCGCAGTCACAATCGCCTGCAGTCGTCCCCATCCGCCACAGCTCTATAATCCTCGGCGGGTCTCGTCTCTCTATAATACTGCACCGCTGCAGTATGCACTTATATATACACATATAAACTAATATATATATATATATAGATATGTACTCACTCGTATGTTGTTGTCGGGCTTGTCAAAAAAACTTAGCGTGGAAAAGGGGTTTCGGGCCTCGGGCAAAATATCGATTGAACGGATATAAATGACGTCACCCCCTCACAGTCGTCTCGGTCGTGGTCGTGTTGCCGGAGACGTGTGTATACTCGGGGAATACGAAATTAATTGCGGAGACACGCCACGCACGACCAGGAAACACCGCGCCCGCTTGCCCTCCTTTTTACCCTCCCGCGGTGGACGACATATTATGTATATAATATATATATATATATATGTTTGTCTTCTGTACAATATGTACATAATAATATATTTAGACACAGAGGCGCTGACACGGCCCCGATGAAGAGGAAACTACGATTCTTCGACGAAACGCATTCACTTATCTATACGCGTGATAATATAATATTATGTGTGTATGTTGTAGACGTGTGCAATTGCAGAGTCGTTTACCCGCCGAATGTGCCACAAACCCTTCCCCAGAGACATTTTATGCATTTAAATTATACGTCCGACGGTATATAAGCGGTATATTATGCTGTATATGCGGTATATGCGGTATATGCGGTATATACAGTGTATGCTGTGGGTACATCTACGATTATATGCACTCGAAGAGTGTGTAATATATAATTGAATTATACATTGTAATAAGTAATAACTAATAAGGCAATAATTGAAGATCATCGGTTTTTTTAAATGATTCTTTATGTAATCTATCTTATTCTCATATTTTATCATTCGCCGTGGTACTTATACTATTGATTGTTCCTGCCGGTTTTAAAGAAATTATTTAAAGGTTGGACATGGTTTTCTTTACCTTCTGTTTTTGATCTCTGTATGTTAATTCAGTACCAGGAAAATTTTCTTTTAGTACCCACCTACATATAATATTGTTTTAACAGGCTTACCGTGTGAATGATATGTATCGCGATTATTTTTCTTGTCGCGTTTCGTCCTTCTAACCTCTATCGTCGATGTCGTTTGTATTTGTTTTTCCGCTCGCCGTCTGGCTTACATAAATAATTATAAATAGGTACTTGATATATTTGAAATAATGGATTTGGAACGTCCGGCAATCACGTCCGATTTAATTATTTGACATTGCGTTTACTTTGTCTGCATACAATCGCACGCACGCCTATGGGTACAAAACGTAGTAAAAGCGTTAAAAAAATATTGTTTGAAATCGGAACGTTGACTGATTACGAATGACCAATGTGCTGATGACTGATCTACACGTACCCATGACAATATATTGTGTATTGTATATGCAAACTCGATATACACGTGTACACCCAAGTACTATAATGTATTCTATGTCCGATGCAACGAGACACGAAGTAAAAATCAATGATAATAATGACAACAGCTATATATGGTGTACAGAGTGTTCCAAAAAGAATCTACGGATTTTGAATGACCATAACACCTGTATTGAAAAACGGAACAAAATAAGAAAATATATTTCATGAATCCTTACGTTCCTTCAAATGTCAACGTAGCCACCACCCATGTAACACAAACAATATCGGGATGGTATTCGAACTCCTCCACATTGACACCGTGAAGTTCGAAGCTTCCTAAATCTCGACTATCCACAACACTAGACAGGTCTTGCTGCAGATAACCGGGTCCAGCAACTCAATTCTTGGCCGTCATGATCATCAGACATCAAACAATGTGACTTATTTCTGTAGGCCTATGCGGAAGATAAAGTTATTGTTTCGCTAATTACAGTCACGTTGGTAAATCAGTGCATTCTTTTTCAAACGCGCTGTATTATACAATAGTATAATAAAATATATAAAATCGTTTTTTCGACTACAATAATAGGCAAAACGTGACGATAATTAATTTCCGTTTCGACGTATTGGGCACACATAAATTATGATGTATGTATAGTATAATATAATAATATTATTAATTCGTTATTTGTACATGACCGAAAATCGAAAATAATAATATTATGTTAGTTTTTTTATAAAATACAATAAATGTATGGGCAATAAAATATTTGATGACAAACAAAACAATAATAATATAATGTTCGTTGCACCGATATCGATTGAAAATAATTAAATTAAATTAGATGCAATTCTGGTGAAAGAAGCTATTGTACCATTTGTACCCTATATATAGGTTTCGCGAACAAAAACTATTATTCGACGAACTCAAAACTTTGATTTAAAAACAAATTTATTGAATTTGATTCATAGGTGAAATTAGAAATTCCACGGGACAACAAATTATCCATCTTTAGATTCAGTTTACATTAAATGTACGAAAAAACATTTTTTTTAAATTGCTTATGACATAAATTCCATCTTTCAATACAATATTGGAATAAGTAATTTGAAAACTATCAACAAATTGAGATTAAGTTGTTGCTCTTATCACTGGATATCGTCGGTTCTAACGATCATGACAAGAGCCATAGCTAATCGCGGGGAAACATGACTTACCAATTATATATTATGTATATGTGTCACTACTCACTCGGTCGTAGTTATGGGTCGTCATCGATAAAGCTTGTAACCTGTAATATTCCTATATGTATATAGGTACCTTCCTATATATTATGTATTTGAACTTCGACGTCATACGACCGCAATTTACCATTCAAGCCGGGCCCGAGGGGCCGTTTAAGCGTCTAGTGCGTGATTTCCACACGCGCGGGGGTCGGTTTGTGGTAGCACGGGGGGTTTTGTGGGTAAGGGTTGCGGGCGACCCTCCCCCGGTGGTTTCGACTGTGCGTCGCACAGATAAGCGAATTTTTACGGATATCTCGCGACTCGTGAATCGACTACAATCACGCGTATCTCCAACCACGACAAACCGTATAACCACTTAAAATTTATGACCAGTCTGGAAAATATAATAATGATAATAATAATAGTGATAATATTTTGTGTATAGAGGGCTGAGGTGGCAAAATTTGGACTTTGGAGAGGGTTGTCCACAAATGGCCGTTGGTAATATTTAGGTACTTAATCTACATTATACTGTACACGCCAAGGTTATGACTCTTCCATCACGTATATTATATATATTATGTTATATGAGTTTTCACCACAGAGTGTATCGAAAATATCTATGTATAGCTATACTTTCGCTGTCGAAACCGTATCGAAACGTTCAGACTCGCACCATAATCCATATAGGTATAACCACAAGTACGGTATAACAATTATCACCATGGTAAATG